CTGTTAAATTTTAGTTCATTTTCTTAGTCATGCATTCATTAACCTAGTGTCAGGCTCTGGAAAGTTAGAGATAGCAGTCTGCCCTGGGGCTTTAAAGTTTATAAATAGTGACCGATCTGAAGAAAAAAGAAGGAAAGAAACAGAAAGAAAAAAGAAATCCAACTATTGATTAATGAGCATAAAACAAAATGACCTGGTTATTTTTTTTTTCTACCTTCAGCGAAGGTTTTACATGCTACATGGGAGACTTCTTTTACGAAGGAGCTGGATGGAAATAGCGTAACACAAAGGAAAGAAACTAATAAGCCAGAGAGAGTACATTTTGCTAACTTATTTGAGGAAGGTATTTACATTGGAGTAGGCACAAGATTTTCCAACAGAAACACCCGTGTCCACGATCTCCTCAGAATCACCAAACCAGACCAATTCCCCCTTATCTCAAAGAGCCAGCAGCACTACGCGTGTGATGTATTTCAGGCGTAAACTTGCTTTGGCTATATCCCGTTGTTTTAAGCTCTGAGAAACACAAAGGATGCTCCATAAATGATTATTTGTTTTACTTACGTGCCTTTATAAACAAAAATAATTAAAAATATGGATACAGTATTACGCTTATTTAATTTGTTGCTCATCTATTCCTCCTATGTTGCCATTGCAAGAGCATTTGTATTTGTATTTGTTTGTATTGTGCTAAAATGGGACTCAAGACCATGAGAACAGCTGGAGTGACTCAGGCTAGAGATCCATCTAATCAAATAGCTGTCTCCAGCAGTAATTGTCTGGGGATGCGTGTAGGAGCTTCAGCAGAAAAAAATCAATAGACTAACTACACTGTAAGTCTTTCTATTAGCAACCATCCCGTTACAACAGTGCGAATGCAGTGGGAGCTTGGGTGGCTGAGGTTCAGACCTTACGCTACAGTCTTTTTCAGTAACGTAGACGTATTAAAGAACAGCGGAGCTGCTGTGTGCTTCCACAAAAACACCTCTTCTTATTCTGACTTCTCTTTTCCTACCACATACATGGCGGTACAGACGTGGCCGAGGAGAATCTTTGTTGTGCCTGATGTTATTATATGGATGTTACACCACTGTTAGTTGTTTACATTTTTCTCAGCAAACTCATCTCATGGTTTAGCTGAAGATTTTACCAGTTACCTTTTAATCCAAAGACTAACAATCAGCCTCGGTGCTATTCCTGTTTTCATGGTTTTCCAACAACTTAATGCTGTCATTTCTATATATCATTTGTACCGGTTAGAAGAACCTGCAAAACCAGCCACGTAAAATTTAGTTTACTGGATGGTTGAAAAGTTAACTCACTCCTTGACTGTCGCACGTGTTATTTTGTCTTACAGCTGTGGTGGTTCTGGCCTTTGTAATTTACTGGTTGTCTTTCCACATTGGCAGGATCATACTTATAAACACCCAGGACACCAGGATGATGCTGTTCTCCCAGTACTTTAATATATTCGCTCTGCAGCTTTTCTACCCGAGCGCATCCATCAACCCTATCCTCTGCAACCTCACTTTGAAGTTCAGGGCAGCAGCCTACAAGCTGCTGTTGCCACATCGAGCTGCAGAAAGGGCTTTCATGGTAACGAAAGATGCTGGTGGCTACACAGAGACCAGTGCTAGCACAAGAAATGAGTACGCCACCAGCTTCTGACACTGCAGCCCACACTTTTCCAGGCGTTCTCTGCAAAGGAAGGGAACTTCATTTTCACGGGAGAGTTGCAAAAGGATGGACATTTGTCAGGCCACGTAGTATTTTGTAACCGTTCGTATTTTGAAATACTTGTATGTTTGTTAACAGAGCAAGCAGGGACCATAAAGTAGTGAGAATGATGTGCAACTCGTGAAAGATCACTCATTAGGAAATGCTGGAGTAAACTGCCAGTGAAACTGTGGTTTCGGTTTATTACATGTTCTTCATTGCATGTGTTCTGTGCAATTTCTAGTATTTTCTAAAAATCGTAACACCAAGGACTGCAAAGGAGGAGGGAGTTTGAGGTAGCAGCTCTGCTTGGGTGCAGTAATGGGTAAAACTCCCAGACACCCTTTGCCATTGTAAAATGAGTTTCCTTATAAACGAGATTTTACAAAACACAGTCTTGCAAGGAGTTGGACACAAAATACAAACTTAAACTACACGATTTAAGAAGAAGCACTTGTTGTTAGGAAGAGCTAGAAGGAGTTGCAGCACCGGTTTCTCCGGAGCGCCATCACACTTATGCATTTTACCTGCTACCTTCCTGGCTACAGTAATATAAATCTGGACCAGAATCGATGAAGCAGGACTGCACTTACAGGACCATCACTGGTGGTACGTCCGCGCTTGCCCTTCGTTACCTGTTAACCCTTGTTAATTAACGTGCCTGCGGTTCAAAAAAGTAACAGTGGTGGTTACTGTGTGCTGGAGTTTGCTGCAGTGGTGTTTGCTGCCACGCGAAGGCAGAATTCAACATCCAGCTCAGAGATCTCAAGACGGCGGAATTGAACTCGAGCCTTCCCTGGGTTTGAAAAATATGACCAATTTCCCATTTAACAAGCCATAGCTCTGAGTCACTGAATAAAAAAAAAAAAATCTGAAGCCAGAAAAAAACCCAAGCTCACTGCGCACCCGTTAAGCTTTCTTCTTCTGTCAGCTTCATACTGGGGGACAGCAGTTGTCTGC